CTCACAAGAACGGCTTAAGGCATAATCTACCATCCCACAGTAGATTAACACCCGACATGCATGATACAAGAGAAAGGACACAACCATTGGCAACACATTGCCTTTGTGACAACACATGTCACAAATAGAGAAATACACAACCGCGGCTACACAAGCCTTCGTGACATCAGTCATCACGAATTGATATGCCTTCCTTATGCCCGGCTCCAACCTTATGGCTACCCCCAACCTAATGTCTATTTCCAACCTTACCTCCAGGACCCCTGTACACCAAGTCCAACCTTATATCCCTGGGAACCATCGTTCCTCCTCCAACAGTCCCTCCAACAGATCCAGCGATTTCATAGTACTCGAGGGTACCGATCACACACGGCTACACATGCCTTGGATAACACATGTTATCCCATATATAAACACGTGAACCATACACAAAGGCCACAAACTCCATAATGGCATCATGGCCACCACGAGGACCACTGCCGTACCTTGGTGATTAAGGCCCCATAAATCGAAATCGTGCAATCCAGGTACAACCACACACACATCACACCTCAACAGGAATCAATCAACGGATCACAGCGAAGATATGAAACCATACTCAATCAAGGAATGGATCACAATCCAACAACAACGATGAATAACACAAGTCATCATCAACAATAGGAAGGCACAAACAACACACACACTAACATTTAAACACCGAACTAGCATGCTTATCAAACGGGAAACCAGACGTACTTCCGAAGAACACACCAGACTCATCATGGTTCAACGAAACTCAATGTTGAACACTTAGCACGATTCAAGACACCAAAACCTACATGGATTCCTACCATATAGTTCTAGACATACGAAACATCAAGAAGACGCTCAATTAGTTCTACAAAAGAACATCAGGAAGTCAAAAAACCAAATACCGAGTCAAAAGAATCACGGGCAACAAATCCCCGAAAAGCCAAAACATGTTCCCCGCGGGTGGGCCCACAGGTTGACCCCCCACCGATGGTTCCGCCCGCGGGTACACACCCACCAAACCACGTTCCCCGCGAGTGGGGCGGCGAGTAGGCCACTGCCCACCGTTCCGCCCGCGGGTACACCAAATTTGTACAAAAATATCCCTTCGGGGATTTTCAGCAACAAGCTCAAATTCAAGTCCAAAACATGCCAAATCTCAACACATACAACAAAATGGCTTGAATCAAAGGAATAGCCAAGCAATGGCATACAAGAACCATAAACACAAGCTCTAGATATGCATTTTCACAAGACAATGCATAAACACTCACATTTCATAGCAAAATCACATGTTGAATCCAAGAATCATCAAATAGGTAAGCAAAATGGATTTTATAGAGCATGGGTTACCTCTTGTAGACAAAAACCTTCACTTAACACTTCACCAAGCTCCTACTAAGGCTCACCTTCCAAACCCACATCAAGAACACACCAAAAGATCATAAAGATTCTATCTTTAAAGAAAGACACCTTAGAAAACACCAAAAACACAAGATGAACATAGATCTTACCATCCTAGATGCCCAAATGTATGAAAGGTAGAATCTTGGAGACAACCTTTGAAGATTTGACAAAGCTCCAACTTGGCTTGGAAGAAAAGCTATCTAACTTTAAGAGAGAAGGGAGAGCTCAAGTTTGGAAAGTGTAAGGAGAAAGAATGAGGAGTGTCTACTAGGTTAGCTTGCATTACTAACAGACGGTGAAATGTCTTGAATACCCTTACTAAAATGAAGAGGTGTAAGGGAACAAGGGAACTAGTCACAAAGCTTAAGGTACAACTTTGACTTTGGGTTGACTAGTCAATTACTAGTCCCCGACTATTGAATTTTCAGGAATTTAAGGAATTAAATTACCAATTGGTTACCAGGACTATGTGGTCTAATGGTACCCGGGTTGGACTTCCATTTGGAAGGTTGTAAGTTCGAGCCTCAGTGGAGGCGTTATTAGCTCTTTGTGTTTCAGTAGGTTGAGAAAGTATATGAACAGATACTACAATGTAATAGAGCTAGTAGCATTCAAAAAAAAAAAAATCCAAACCAATTGGTTTATGATTAATTACTTACTTAATCCCTTAATCGAATTTGGATTACGGGGTGTCACATCCTCTCCCCCATCAAAGAAGCTTCGTCCCCGAAGCTTGGGTATGACGAATTAAAACAAACGGTAAAAGGAACAACAATGTGACAAGAGTGTCAAGAACAGTCTCTTTTGGTCAAACCCAAAGGATTCACAAGACATCAAAGTAAGCAAAAAAGTATATCAAAACAAGGATTGGAAGAATTTAACCATCGGAAATGATGAGCATATCAAACTCAAAACCAAACACAACTACCAACTTTTAACCAACAACCAAAAACTAACAACTAGCTCAAAGCACAACCAACAAAGCTAACTACTCAACTAAACAAACAAGCAAGAACAAGCACATAAGGCAAGCAACAAACAACTAGCGAACAGAAACAACTAAGAGGATAACAACAACTAAGGAAAGGCGAACGGGATTCCCACAACACCGTGCTAGAACGACTCGCTCTCCGACTCATCGGTGCTCTCCTCGGATTGTTCGTCATCCCCTCCTCTACGGCTTTAGCTGGCCTCAATCTGATCTAGCCTCTGGTGAACGGCAACAAATTGCGCCTTCATGTACGCGAAACCTTCTTCAAACATACGATTCTGTTGACGAAGCAAGGTGACTAAACGTTCCTCATGCATCATGGAATCATGCTCCCTTTTGGTGCGGGCTTCCCTTCTTCTTTGATTTTCTTCGCTTTCAGAATCACTTTCCTCGGCCTCGGTAGCTTCCGGTGCTTCCACCTCTTCATCATGGCCCGTTTCCCCCTCATCATCATTATCACCTCCCGAACTCTGGACTGCGAGGTTCAACTTTCCAGCATGAATCTCGAGCTCAGCTGCCAACTCGGCTCGTTCTTCAGGGGATTTTCTTGCAACTTCTTCAAGAGTGATGTAATCACCATCGTCCAACTGAAACAAGTTGCAACTTCGAAGATTTGTGGCATCCAACATCATCTTCCCAATGGGCTTCAGTATGTAACCATCAACACTTACACACTTCCTAACAAGAATCCAGCTCAGCACCATCCAATACGGTAGGCTCTTTCGATTGTGATCACGACAGAAGAGCATATGTTGCAACATTAAAGCCGGCAGATTGAACTTTACCATATTCTTAAGGCAGAAAGCAAAGGTGCACTCCAACTTTCCCAGCAACCAACTTTTGTTGTTATTGGGCAACAAACAATCTGACACCAGCATCACCAAAATCCTTTGCTCAGCGGACAACCAGTTTTTCTCCGGTCTTAAAGCTTGAGTGAAACCACTCGTGCGACCCAACAAATAACTCAAGTAGTCCCGGTACCCCATCGTATCCGTACTAATCCACGAGTTACCACTGTACTGAGCAACTCCCGAAGCAGATAAACTCAAAAGCTGAGCTAGCCTCTTTTCAGACAAGACCACTTTCACACCTCTCACTCTAGAAGTGATTTCAAGCTTATCACCATCCTTTGTCACAACCATGTGACGATAAAATTCCTTAACCAAACTTGGGTAGGTCTCGGCCCTTATGGCGAGGAACCCATCTAACAAACCTAGGAATCTAAGCATATCCAACAAAGAATTAGGAAAAGTTTCCGGGTCGAAAGCTTTACCTTCAAGAACAAGGTAATGGGCATCCACCCATTCCACTTTCCTTGCCAAACTTGACCTTCTAGGCATGATAGGAGATGACCCAAAGCTCAACGAAAGAAACCCAAGCTTTCCTCTTCTTCTTCTCTTCTCGCTGCTCACTATCTCTCTCTCGCTGCTCTCTCTCTCTCTCTCTCGGCCGCGACGGTGAGCTAGCTCCGGCAGGCGGCGGTGATGCGTCGACGGGCAGGTGGTGGTGGCGGGTGGCAGCTGAGGCGACAGGTTGGGGGGGTTTCGGCTGCACACGGGTAGGAAGAGGAGAAATAGAAGAAGGATGTGGAAATTTAGGGATTTGGGGGAAAATTGGGAAAGGAGATGATTTAATTTGGGGATTTGGGTAAAGTGGAAATTTATGGTTTAGATGGAATTAAAGTTGGGTAGGTTTCAAGAGAGATAATTAGCTTAAGTGGTTTAAGGGTTGGCTTGGCAAAGAGTATGCCCTGGTTTGAAACTCAAGGCTTGTGAATAAATATTTTACTTAACTTTTAGGCTACACAAGAAAGGATTTTTATATGGGTTTCCTATTCCCCAATTCAAAGAATACTTGGAGAAATTTAGGTGGTTCTCAAAGGAAAGGTCGCCAGAATTTCCAAGTAAAAGATTATGGAATTAGCCCAAGCATGACTGATTCAAAGAATAAACAACTAAATCCACAACGAGGCTCGCTCATAAGATGAAGAGAATCATTTATCAAGAAAGGCTTACACTTAATCTCCAAAAGAGTCATTCATCGATGGAAAAACGTGACAAGGATAGCAAAGCAACTCAAGTAGACACAAAGAAACACAAGACAACACACAAGGCAACAAGGAACAAAATGCGTTCTAAAGACAAGGGAAGGCTAGAAAAGGATTACCTGCTAGCTCCTCCTCCACTAAACCCTCGGTCTCCGCCTGCGAACGCCCCATCATGAAGACTTTCCCCGATGGCCTGGCCCCAACTACTCCACGGCTCGAGCTACCTCCCGCTGCTCCTCCGGCTCCTGGGGGTGGCGGCAACGCCCTTTGATTGACTTGTTGAGGGCACTCGGCAACTTTGTGGCCCCTATCTTCGCAACGAAAGCATCGTAATGCGAAACCATTACAACTCTGACCGGCATGTACCTTCCCACATCGATGACAAGGAGATGTCTTGACTTGATTTCCATGCTCCACTCGGTTGGATCCTTGGGTTGGAGATGACGCGTTCCTGCCTAGAAAACTCGGTCGCGTCTTCTTGTGGTTAGAAGAGCCTCCACTCTCGGTCCTCTTTCTAGCAAGCTCATAGGACCCTCGCTGAAGCTACTGAACGCGATACAGATCCGCGGCACTCACATAAGTATCCTTCAAAGAACTCGGCCTACTCACGGTCAAGGCCTTTCGTGCCTCATAATTCAAGCCAGCAATGAATTTCTCAACCTTGGCGAGCTCTGTAGGCACAAGCATCCGAGTGAAGCGCGCTAACTCAAGAAACTTCTTGTGGTACTCGACCACTGACAGAGATCCTTGCTGAAGGTGGAGGAACTCCTCGTACATCGCGGCGCGGAGATGTGCTGGATAAAACCTCTCGCGCATTCTATCTTTAAGTGCAGACCAATCGAACTCAGGCTCCTCAAGGTAGGCAGGTCCCTCATGAATCCACCATAGATCAGCCTCGTGACAGAAGTAGAACGTTGCCAGCTCTACCCTCCGCTCCTCGGGACAACCCACAACCGAGAAGATCTTATCGAACGCTCTCATCCACTCCTCCAAAACAACCGGGTCTTCTTCACCCGCGAAGGTCGGTGGTCTGTGACCCGACACCAAACGACCCATGTCCCTGTGCCCGGCAGGTTGAGGAGGTGGCACGGGGTGGTTGTTGTTCAACAATGCCTCACTAAGAGTCTGCATCATCTGCGTCAACTGCTGCAGGTTCTGGGCAAGCTGCTCATTCGTCGGGGTCTCCGGGGTACGCGCACGTGGACGAGGAGGCATCGCAAAGCTTCTATAACAACAACACCGTTACCAAAAAGAAAACAAACAAGCAACAGCTATAAGAAACGCTTAGCTCACCGCGCAACCTAGAGTCCTAAGCCTAACACTTAGATTCTTAAGGTCACTTTAAGGTCTCAAACAACACTTAGCCTTTTAGAAGTCTAGACTTTATCAACCTAGGCTCAAACCTTGGCTCTGATACCAAATGTAACACCCCCTAATTTCCATACTGAATTAAGCCTTAAACATGCAGATATATATATATATATATATACATATATATATATATATATATATATATATATATATATATATATATATATATATATATATAAGTTCAAAACCAAGAGCAGAAGTCAACACAAGACTCAATGCACTCACAACAAGAATACAGGAACACATCCCAAGACCACAAGAAGTAAGAACAACTCACAAGAACGGCTCAAGGCATAATCTACCATCACACAGTAGATTAACACCCGACATGCATGATACAAGAGAAATGACACAACAATTGGCAACACATTGCCTGTGTGACAACACATGTCACAAATAGAGAAATACACAACCACGGCTACACAAGCCTCCGTGACATCACTCATCACGAATTGGTATGCCTTCCTTATGCCCGATTCTAACCCTATGGTTAGCCCCAACCTTATGTCTAGTTCCAACCTTTACCTCCAGGACCCCTGTACACCAAATCCAACCTTATTCCCCAGGGAACCGTCGTTCCCCCTCCAATAGAACCACCGATTTCATTGTACACGAGGGTACCAATCACACACTGCAACACATGCCCTGGATAACACATGTTATTCCAGAAATATACACGTGAACCTTACACAAAGGCCACTGTAACACCCCCCAAGCAAGACCTATATAAAAGCTTTAAACACATGCAGATTAAGCGACAAAACTAGCACAGCGGAAGATAAAAACGAAAATGGATAAAAAGAAATCCAACGGGGTGTCACGCCACGTCTACCAAACACGGTAAACGCTACGGCAAACAATCTGCAAGTGTACATCTATCCCAAACATCGGTCTATCTAACTACATTGGCGCACAGGCCACAAAAACCACAAAGGTAAAGGAGCTAAGCTACCAGGCTCTAGACATCGTGCTCGTCTAAACATCACCTGAAAGATACAAGATAAACATGGGACGACGCCCGGTCAGCGAATAATGCTGGTAACCCACCAATACCGTTAAGTATCATATATAGATAGATATAAGCCATAAAACCATTTTCGAAATGGAATACATAAGTATATAAGTCAAAAGCCAAGATCAATAGTTAAAACAAGACTCACCACTCACAAAGATAACACCGGGAACACATCCCAAACCACAAAGGTTAACCACACGCAAGGATAAAGACTCACCCAACGGCAACACATGCCAAACAACACAAGACTCCGTGACTACACACGTCACAAGAGAAGATTACACAACGCCGGCTTTACAAGCCCTCGCAACATCACCCATAACGAGTTGGTATGCCTGCCTTATGCCCTGTTCCAACCTTATGGCTACCCCCAACCTTGTATCTTCTTTCCAACCATTACCTCCTGGAACCCCTGTACTTCTTAGTCCAACCTTTTCCCTCCTGGGACCGTCGTCCCCCACCAACAGACCACCAACAAAACCACCAATTTCACACACATGGCGACACCCGCCTCGGCGACACACGCCTTACCCAAGAAATACGTGAACCTGACACACAGGACACACTCCATAATCACGTCACGGCCACCATGAGGACCGCTGCAATACCTTGGTGACTAGTGTCCCATACCACTAATCGTGCAATCCAGGTAAAGCCACACACACCACACCTCAACAGAAATCAATCAAAGGATTGCAATGAATGTATGAAACATACTCAATCAAGGAACGGGTCACAGCCCAACAACAACAACGATGAATAACACAAGTTATCATCAACCAAACGGAAGGTACAAACCACACACACGCTAGTATTAAGACAACGAACTAGCGTGATTAACAACGGGGAAACTCAAGATAGTTCCGAGGAACACACAAGACACCTCTTGGTCCAACGAAACACAATGTTGAACACTTAGCACGATTCAAGACACCAAAGTCCTACATGGATACCTACCATATAGTTCTAGACCTACAAAACATCAAGAAGACGCTCAAATAGTTCCACATAAGAACATCGGGAAGCCAAAAGATCAAATACCAAGACAAACAAATCACGGGGAACAAATCCCGAACGAACACCATCGTGTTCCCCGCGGGTGGACCCACGGGTAGTGCCCACCCGTGGTCCCGCCTGCGGGTACACTACCCCCCAGGCCTATGTACCCGCGGGTAGGCCGGCGGGTGGTGCCCCGCCCGCGGGAACATCCCTGTTCCACAACAAATCCCTTCGGGGATTTTCTTCTCCAAACAGAAATTCAAGTCCAAAACATGCTAAATCTCACCCAACACAACAAAATGACTTGAACCATGGAAAATGCCAAGCAATGGCACAAAGGAACCCTAAACACAAGCTCTAGATATGCAATATCACAAGATAATGCATAAACACTCACATTTCATAGCAAAACACATGTAGAATCCAAGAAATCACATATAGGTAAGCAAAATAGGTTTTGTAGAGCATGGGTTACCTCTTGAAGATCAAAAGACTTCACTTCACACCACAACAAGCTCTCCACTAGGCTCACTTTCCAAACCCACTTCAAGATAAAACCAAAAGATCATAAAGATCCTACCTTTAAGAAAAAGACAACTAAGATGGAACCAAAAACACAAGACAGGCTTACCCTCCTAGATGCCCAAATAGGTGAAAGGTTGAATCTTGGAAGCAAAACTTGGAATCTTGACAAGGGTCTCAACTTGGCTTGTAGAATAAGCTACACTTCTTTTATAGAGAGAAGGTAGAGATATTTTTCTAGGAATTGTAAGGAATGAATTGAAGAAGTCTTCTAGGTTAGGTTACAATACTAACTCTTGGTGAAAAGACAAGGATACCCTTACTAACCCTTAGAAAGTGTAAGGAACAAGGGAACTCCCCTCAAAGCACAAGGTACAACACAACTTAAAGGTTGACTAGTCAAATTCTAGTCCTTGAGTATTAAAAATCAGGATTTAGGAATCAATTCCTTAAAAGATATAGAATTAATTACTCAATTAATTCAAGGATTGAAATGTGGATTTTTGGGGTGTCACATCCACAAACTCCATAATCACGTCAAGGCCACCACGAGGACCACTGCCGTACCTTGGTGATTAAGGCCCCATAAACTGAAATCGTGTTATCCAGGTACAGCCACACACACATCACACCTCAACAGGAATCAATTAACGGATCACAAAGAAGATATGAAACCATACTCAATCAAGGAATGGACCACAGTCCAACAACAACGATGAATAACACAAGTCATCATCAACAATAGGAAGGTAAAAATAACAAACATGCTAGCATTTAAACACCGAACTAGCATGCTTATCAAACGGGTAAACCAGACGTAGTTCCGAAGAACACACCAGACTCATCATGGTTCAACGAAACACAATGTTTAACACTTAGCACGATTCAAGACACCAAAACCTACATGGATTCCTACCATATAGTTCTAGACATACGAAACACCAAGAAGACGCTCAAATAGTTCCACAAAAGAACATCTGGAAGTCAAAAGGCCAATACCGAGTCTAAAGATTCACAGGGAACAAATCCCCGCCAAGCCAACATATGTTCCCCGCGGGTGGGCCCACTGGTGGATCCCTCACCCGTGGTTCTGCCCGTATGTACACACCCACCAAAAGACGTTCCCCGCGGGTGGGGCGGCGGCTAGGCCACTGCCCGCCGCTCCGCCCGCGGGTACACCAACCTTTACGAAAATATCCCTTCGTGGATTTTCAACGCCAAACTCAAATTCAAGTCCTAAACATGCCAAATCTCACCTAATACAACAAAATGAATTGAATCAAAGGAATAGCCAAGCAATGGCATATAAGAACCCTAAACAGAAGCTCTAGATATGCATTTTCACAAGACAATGCATAAACACTCACATTTCATAGCAAAATCACATGTAGAATCTAAGAATCATCAAATAGGTAAGAAAAATAGATTTTGTAGAGCATGCGTTACCTCTTGTAGACAAAAACCTTCACTTAACACTACACCAAGCTCCTACTAAGGCTCACCTTCCAAACCCACTTCAAGAACACACCAAAAGATCATAAAGATTCTATCTTTAAAGAAAGACACCTTAGAAAACACTAAAAACACAAGATGAACATAGATCTTACCGTCCTAGATGCCCAAATGTATGAAAGGTAGAATCTTGGAGACAACCTTTGAAGATTTGACGAAGCTCCAACTTGGCTTGGAAGAAAAGCTATCTAACTTTTAGAGAGGATGGAGAGCTCAAGTTTGGAAAGCGTAAGGAGAAAGAATGAGGAGTGTCTACTAGGTTAGCTTGCATTACTAACACAAGGCGAAATGTCATGAATACCCTTACTAAAATGAAGAGGTGTAAGGGAACAAGGTAAACTACTCACAAAGCTTAAGGTACAACCTTGACTTTGGGTTGACTAGTCAATTACTAGTCCCCGACTATTGAATTTTTAGGAATTTAAGGAATTAAATTACCAATTGGTTTAGGATTAATTACTTAATTAATCCCTAAAACGAATTTGGATTACGGGGTGTCACAATCCGAGTAGCAAGTAATGAAACAATAGAAAAGAGTAGGCCAGCTCATCTATAAATGCTATGTGTTGTTTAACTCGTGATCATTGAATTGACCATCTGTGGTCCTTCGACTTTCAAATTTAACCATTCATGGTCCAAGTTAACCACCGATGCCCCTTCAAGTTTTTAAATTTAATTTAACCAGTCGTGATCCTCCTGAAAGGACCATGGTTGGTTAAAATTTAATAGTTGAAGGACCACAGGTGGTTAACTTAGACCATGAATGGTTGAATTTGAAAGTCGAAGAATAACATATTGTCAATTTGAAATTTTAGGACTAATTAGACGTGGCAAAACCACCATACTCCGAGGACCTCGGATGGTATTAACTCTTAAAACATTTTTTAAAATTATATATAATGCTTTAATGGCAGTTTCTTAGTTGGTGTGTCTCCTTCTCACTATTTCACGTATTCTGATTTTTTATATTGGAGTGTAAATAATGTGATATAGACAAATGGTAGCCTAGTCGAATTATGAAAAAAGCCCACCGTGGAGCTCGAACCCACGACCACAAGGTTAAGAGCCTTGCGCTCTACCAACTGAGCTAGACGGGCTGTTAAATTGTTATTTTGTTATAATTCCGACCGTATGATGAGGAAAAAGATAATCCGTGATGGATAGGGGAATTGAACCCAACATGAATTGAACACGCAACCTTTTAATCTGGAATTGAACCCAAAATGAATTGAACACGCAACCTTTCAACCTTTTAATAGTTGAAGCACCACATGTGGTTAACTTGGACCACGAATGGTTAAATTTGAAATTCGAAGAATCACATATTTTCAAATTAAAAGATTAGGACTAATTAAACGTGGCAAAACAACTATACTTCAAGGACCTCATATGGTATAAACTCATAAAACATTTTTTAAAATTATATATAATGCTTTAACGGCGGTTTCTTAGTTGGTGTGTTTCCTTCTCACTATTTCACGTATTCTGATTTTGTATATTAGAATGTTAATAATGTAATATAGACAAATGGTAGCCTAGTGGAAATACGAAAATGCCCACCATGGGGCTCGAACCCACGACCACAAGGTGTGGTAGCCTTGCGCACTACTAACTGAGCTAGACGGGCTGTTAAGTTGTTATTTTGTTATAGTTTAATAATATTCTAAATTCCGATGTTATGGTGAGGAAAAAGATAATCCGTGATGGATAGGGGAATTAAACCCAATGTGAATCAAACACGCAACCTTCTGATCTGGAGTTAGACGCACTACCATTGCAACACGGATCCACTGTGAGGTGTAAATTTTAGTGGTAATGTTTGTTTGAAAGTTTATTTTCACATCAGATATCATTTTTAAAGAGTGGGCCAAAAGAAATGTCAAATAGAAAGCATGTGAAGCGTGGACAAGTTAATTAATCAAAAGCAGTTCTCACAAATTAACATAGGGATATAATGGAAACAATCCAAGTAGCAAGTAATGAAACAATAGAAAAGAGTAGGCCAACTCTTCTATAAATGCTATGTGATGTTTAACCCGTGATCATTGAAAGATTTAGCAACGATCACGGAAGAGGTAACAATGGTGTCAATGATATTCTCAGTCATTGGACTACCCATTAGCAAAGACTCATATTCTTATGGCAATTCAATTTTAATTGGAACAATTTAGCAAACAAATAACCTCCAAATTAATGTGAATCTTATTCCAATCCCATTTACTAAAAGTGAGATTGAAATTGTAAGTAGTGTATCTAATTGCATGCGTGTCCTATTTTTATAGCTACACACAATATAATTCCAAAGTTTCTCAAGCATAATTGAACCCTAAATCATACAAGAGATCAAAGTATAGCATACTTGCAACAAATTTAACCATTGAGTTAATACTATTTGAGGTCATCCGAGTATTATGGTTTTGTGACGTTTAGTCTTAAACTTTCGAATTGACCATCAGTGATCCTTCGACTTTCAAATTTAACGATTCGTGGTCCAAGTTAACCACCCATGCTCCTTCAAGTTTTTAAATTTAATTTAACCAGTCGTGATCGTCTTGAAAGTACAATGGTTGGTTAAAATTTAATAGTTGAAGCACCACATGTTTTTAACTTGGACCACGAATGGTTAAATTTGAAAGTCGAAGAATCACATATTTTCAATTTAAAAGTTTAGGACTAATTAAACGTGGCAAAACAACTATACTTCAAGGACCTCAGATGGTATTAACTCATAAAACATTCTTTAAAATTATATATAATGCTTTAAGGGCGGTTTCTTAGTTGGTGTGTTTCCTTCTCACTATTTCACGTATTCTGATTTTGTATATTGGAGTGTAAATAATGTAATATAGACAAATGGTAGCCTAGTGGAAATACGAAAATGCCCACCATGGGGCTCGAACCCACGACCACAAGGTGTGGTAGCCTTGCGCACTACTAACTGAGCTAGACGTACTGTTAAGTTGTTATTTTGTTATAGTGTAATAATATTCTAAATTCCGACGTTATGGTGAGGAAAAAGATAATCCGTGATGGATAGGGGAATTAAACCCAATGTGAATCGAACACGCAACCTTCTGATCTGGAGTTAGACGCGCTACCATTGCGACACGGATCCACTGTGAGGTGTAAATTTTAGTGGTAATGTTTGTTTGAAAGTTTATTTTCACATCAGATATCATTTTTAAAGAGTGGGCCCAAAGAAATGTCAAATAGAAAGCAAGTGAAGCGTGGACAAGTTAATTAATCAAAAGCAGTTCTCACAAATTAACATAGGGATATAATGGAAACAATCCAAGTAGCAAGTAATGAAACAATAGAAAAGAGTAGGCCAACTCTTCTATAAATGCTATGTGATGTTTAACTCATGATCATTGAAAGATTTAGCAACGATCACGGAAGAGGTAACAATGGTGTCAATGATATTCTCAGTCATTGGAATACCCATTAGCAAAGACTCATATTCTTATGGCAATTCAATTTTAATTGGAACAATTTAGCAAACAAATAACCTACAAATTAATGTGAATCTTATTCCAATCCCATTTACTAAAAGTGAGATTGAAATTGTAAGTAGTGTATCTAATTGCATGTGTGTCCTATTTTTATTGCTACACACAATATAATTCCAAAGTTTCTCAAGCATAATTGAACCCTAAATCATAAAAGAGATCAAAGTATAGCATACTTGCAACAAATTTAACCATTGAGTTAATACTATTTGAGGTCATCCGAGTATTATGGTTTTGTGACGTTTAGTCTTAAACTTTCGAATTGACCATCTGTGATCCTTCGACTTTCAAATTTGACGATTCGTGGTCCAAGTTAACCACCCATGCTCCTTCAAGTTTTTAAATTTAATTTAACCAGTCGTGATCGTCTTGAAAGTACAATGGTTGGTTAAAATTTAATAGTTGAAGCACCACATGTTTTTAACTTGGACCACGAATGGTTAAATTTGAAAGTCGAAGAATCACATATTTTCAATTTAAAAGTTTAGGACTAATTAAACGTGGCAAAACAACTATACTTCAAGGACCTCAGATGGTATTAACTCATAAAACATTCTTTAAAATTATATATAATGCTTTAAGGGCGGTTTCTTAGTTGGTGTGTTTCCTTCTCACTATTTCACGTATTCTGATTTTGTATATTGGAGTGTAAATAATGTAATATAGACAAATGGTAGCCTAGTGGAAATACGAAAATGCCCACCATGGGGCTCGAACCCACGACCACAAGGTGTGGTAGCCTTGCGCACTACTAACTGAGCTAGACGTGCTGTTAAGTTGTTATTTTGTTATAGTGTAATAATATTCTAAATTCCGACGTTATGGTGAGGAAAAAGATAATCCGTGATGGATAGGGGAATTAAACCCAATGTGAATCGAACACGCAACCTTCTGATCTAGAGTTAGACGCGCTACCATTGCGACACGGATCCACTGTGAGGTGTAAATTTTAGTGGTAATGTTTGTTTGAAAGTTTATTTTCACATCAGATATCATTTTTAAAGAGTGGGCCCAAAGAAATGTCAAATAGAAAGCAAGTGAAGCGTGGACAAGTTAATTAATCAAAAGCAGTTCTCACAAATTAACATAGGGATATAATGGAAACAATCCAAGTAGCAAGTAATGAAACAATAGAAAAGAGTAGGCCAACTCTTCTATAAATGCTATGTGATGTTTAACTCATGATCATTGAAAGATTTAGCAACGATCACGGAAGAGGTAACAATGGTGTCAATGATATTCTCAGTCATTGGACTACCCATTAGCAAAGACTCATATTCTTATGGCAATTCAATTTTAATTGGAATAATTTAGCAAACAAATAACCTCCAAATTAATGTGAATCTTATTCCAATCCCATTTACTAAAAGTGAGATCGAAATTGTAAGTAGTTTATCTAATTGCATGCGTGTCCTATTTTTATAGCTACACACATTATAATTCCAAAGTTTCTCAAGCATAATTGAACCCTAAATCATAAAAGAGATCAAAGTATAGCATACTTGCAACAAATTTAACCATTGAGTTAATACTATTTGAGGTCATCCGAGTATTATGGTTTTGTGACGTTTAGTCTTAAACTTTCGAATTGACCATCTGTGATCCTTCGACTTTCAAATTTAACGATTCGTGGTCCAAGTTAACCACCCATGCTCCTTCAAGTTTTTAAATTTAATTTAACCAGTCGTGATCCTCTTGAATGGACAATGGTTGGATAAAATTTAATAGTTGAAGCACCATAGGTAGTTAACTTGGACCACGAATGGTTAAATTTGAAAGTCGAAAAATCACATATTTTCAATTTAAAAGTTTAGGACTAATTAAACGTGGCAAAAAAACTATACTTCAAGGACCTCAGATGGTATTAACTCATAAAACATTTTTTAAAATTATATATAATGCTTTAACGGCGGTTTCTTAGTTGGTGTGTTTCCTTCTCACTATTTCACGTATTCTGATTTTGTATATTGGAGTGTTAATAATGTAATATAGACAAATGGTAGCCTAGTGGAAATACAAAAATGTCCACCATGGGGCTCGAACCCACGACCACAAGGTGTGGTAGCCTTGCGCACTACTAACTGAGCTAGACGGGCTGTTAAGTTGTTAATTTGTTATAGTTTAATAATATTCTAAATTCCGACGTTATGGTGAGGAAAAAGATAATCCGTGATGGATAAGGGAATTAAACCCAATGTGAATCGAACACGCAACCTTCTGATCTGGAGTTAGACGCACTACCATTGCAACACGGATCCACTGTGAGGTGTAAATTTTAGTGGTAATGTTTGTTTGAAAGTTTATTTTCACATCAGATATCATTTTTAAACAGTGGGCCAAAAGAAATGTCAAATAGAAAGCATGTGAAGCGTGGACAAGTTAATTAATCAAAAGCAGTTCTCACAAATTAACATAGGGATATAATGGAAACAATCCAAGTAGCAAGTAATGAAACAATAGAAAAGAGTAGGCCAACTCTTCTATAAATGCTATGTGATGTTTAACCCGTGATCATTGAAAGATTTAGCAACGATCACGGAAGAGGTAACAATGGTGTCAATGATATTCTCAGTCATTGGACTACCCATTAGCAAAGACTCATATTCTTATGGCAATTCAATTTTAATTGGAACAATTTAGCAAACAAATAACCTCCAAATTAATGTGAATCTTATTCCAATCCCATTTACTAAAAGTGAGATTGAAATTGTAAGTAGTGTATCTAATTGCATGCGTGTCCTATTTTTATAGCTACACACAATATAATTCCAAAGTTTCTCAAGCATAATTGAACCCTAAATCATACAAGAGATCAAAGTATAGCATACTTGCAACAAATTTAACCATTGAGTTAATACTATTTGAGGTCATCCGAGTATTATGGTTTTGTGACGTTTAGTCTTAAACTTTCGAATTGACCATCAGTGATCCTTCGACTTTCAAATTTAACGATTCGTGGTCCAAGTTAACCACCCATGCTCCTTCAAGATTTTAAATTTAATTTAAGCAGTCGTGATCCTCTTGAAAGTATAATGGTTGGTTAAAATTTAATAGTTGAAGCACCACATGTGGTTAACTTGGACCACATATGGTTAAATTTGAAAGTCGAAGAATCACATATTTTCAATTTAAAAGTTTAGGACTAATTAAACGTGGAAAAACAACTATACTTCAAGGACCTCAGATGGTATTAACTCTTTAAACATTTTTTAATATTATATATAATGCTTTGATGGCGGTTTCTTTGTTGGTGTGTCTCCTTCTCACTATTTCACGTATTCTGATTTTGTATATTGGAGTGTTAATAATGTAATATAGACAAATGGTAGCCTAGTGGAAATACGAAAATGTCCACCATGGGGCTCGAACCCACGACCACAAGGTGTGGTACGCTTGCGCACTACTAACTGAGCTAGACGGGCTGTTAAGTTGTTATTTTGTTATAGTTTAATAATATTCTAAATTCCGACGTTATGGTGAGGAAAAAGATAATCCGTGATGGATAGGGGAATTAAACCCAATGTGAATCGAACACGCAACCTTCTGATCTGGAGTTAGACGCGCTACCATTGCGACACGGATCCACTGTGAGGTGTAAATTTTAGTGGTAATGTTTGTTTGAAAGTTTATTTTCACATCAGATATCATTTTTAAAGAGTGGGCCAAAAGAAATGTCAAATAGAAAGCATGTGAAGCGTGGACAAGTTAATTAATCAAAAGCAGTTCTCACAAATTAACATAGGGATATAATGGAAACAATCCAAGTAGCAAGTAATGAAACAATAGAAAAGAGTAGGCCAACTCTTCTATAAATGCTATGTGATGTTTAACTTGTGATCATTGAAAGATTTAGCAACGATCACGGAAGTGGTAACAATGGTGTCAATGATATTCTCAGTCATTGGACTACCCATTAGCAAAGACTCATATTCTTATGGCAATTCAATTTTAAATGGAACAATTTAGCAAACAAATAACCTACAAATTAATGTGAATCTTCTTCCAATCCCATTTACTAAATGTGAGATTGAAATTGTAAGTAGTGTATCTAATTGCATGTGTGTCCTATTTTTATAGCTACACACAATATAATTCCAAAGTTTCTCAAGCATAATTGAACCCTAAATCATACAAGAGATTAAAGTATAGCATACTTGGAACAAATTTAACCATTGAGTTAATACTATTTGAGGTCATCCGAGTATTATGGTTTTGTGACGTTTAGTCTTAAACTTTCGAATTGACCATCTGTGATCCTTCGACTTTCAAATTTAACCATTCGTGGTCCAAGTTAACCACCCATGCTCCTTCAAGTTTTTAAATTTAATTTAACCAGTCGTGATCCTCTTGAATGGACAATGGTTGGTTTAAAATTTAATAGTTGAAGCACCATAGGTGGTTAACCTGGATCACGAATGGTTAAATTTGAAAGTCGAAAAATCACATATTTTCAATTTAAAAGTTTAGGACTAATTAAACGTGGCAAAACAACTATACTTCAAGGACCTCGGATGGTATTAACTCTTAAAACATTTTTTAAAATTATATATAATGCTTTAATGGCGGTTTCTTAGTTGGTGTGTCTCCTTCTCACTATTTCACGTTTTCTGATTTTGTATATTGGAGAGGAAATAATCTAATATAGAGAAATGGTAGCCTAGTGGAAATACGAAAACGCCCACCATAGGGCTCGAACCCACGACCACAAGGTTAATAGCCTTGCGCACTACCAACTGAGCTAAACGGGCTGTTAAATTGTTATTTTGTTATAGTGTAATAATATTCTAAATTCCAACGTTATGGTGAGGAAAAAGATAATCCATGATGGATAGGGGAATTGAACCCAACGTAAATTGAACACGCAACCTTCTAATCTAGAGTCAGACACGCTACCATTACACCACGAATCCACTATGAGGTGTAAATTTTAGTGGTAATGTTTGTTTGAAAGTTTATTTTCACATCAGATATCATTTTTAAAGAGTGGGCCAAAAGAAATGTCAAATAGAAAGCAAGTGAAGTGTGGACAAGTTAATAAATCAAAAGCAGTTCTCACAAATTAACATAGGGATATAATGGAAACAATCCAAGTAGCAAGTAATGAAACAATAGAAAAGAGTAGGCCAACTCTTCTATAAATGCTATATGATGTTTAACTCGTGATCATTGAAAGATTTAGCAACGATCACGGAAGAGGTAACAATGGTGTCAATGATATTCACAGTCATTGGACTACCCATTAGCAAAGACTCATATTCTTTTGGCAATTCAATTTTAAATGGAACAATTTAGCAAACAAATAACCTACAAATTAATGTGAATCTTCTTCCAATCCCATTTACTAAAAGTGAGATTGAAATTGTAAGTAGTGTATCTAATTGCTTGCGTGTCCTATTTTTATAGCTACACACAATATAATTCCAAAGTTTCTCAAGCATAATTGAACCCTAAATCATACAAGAGATCAAAGTATAGCATACTTGCAACAAATTTAACCATTGAGTTAATACTATTTGAGGTCATCCGAGTATTATGGTTTTGTGACGTTTAGTCTTAAACTTTCGAATTGACCATCTGTGATCCTTCGACTTTCAAATTTAACCATTCGTGGTCCAAGTTAACCACCCATGCTCCTTCAAGTTTTTAAATTTAATTTAACCAGTCGTGATCCTCTTGAAAGGACCATGGTTGGTTAAAATTTAATAGTTGAAGCACCACAGGTGGTTAACTTGGACCACGAATGGTTAAATTTGAAAGTCGAAGAATAGAAAAGACTAAGCCAACTCTTCTATAATTGCTATGTGATGTTTAACTCGTGATCGTTGGAAGATTTATCAATGATCACGGAAGAGGTAAAAATTATACTAAATTATAAATAACATTTGAAATAAAAATGCCCATAAAATTCTGCAGTATAAAAATGTGAAATATGCAGTACAAAAAGGTTCAAAACAATAGTAAATATAAAAAAGTCAAACACATTGGAATAAATATATATACTTAATTACAAATTTTTAAAAACCTCGTGGTACACAACATTTACAGTTGAAGAATAATACTCCCCATTCTCACTTAAAACAACCACTTTAAGACCCTTTGGATTGTTAACTCTAGACAAAGCCACATACAATTGTCCATGCACAAAAACAGGTTTTTTCAGAAGTAAGCCAACATATGTAAGACTTTGTCCTTGACTCTTATTTATGGTCATTGCATATGACAACATTAAAGGGAATTGCCTCCTTTGGAACTTAAATGGCAATCGAGGAGCTGACGGTGTCAATGAAAATCTTGGAATTAAAACTCGTGTACCCATACTAATTCCTGACGTCACTTTCGCTTCAACAACATGATCTCCCAATTTAGTAATGACTAATCTCATACCATTACACAAGACAAGAGTGTAGTCAATGTTTTGCAACAACATAACTGGTGATCCAACTTGCAACATAAGACAATGATTTTGAATACACGAGCATTTCAACATGTTAAGAAACTCTGTAGTATGTAAACTGTTGGAAAAAAATAGCTTAAAATAGCATAAAATGACATATTAAGCGGCTATTTTGTGGTACAATTATCAGTGGGGTCCACTTCTGATTTGGGTCGGGTCAAAGTGGATTCGGGTTCTTCGTAGTGAGACGAAGAGATTGATATATTGTACGCTCAAAACGGATAATGGGTGAATGAGATATTGATTCTCAAAGTAGACCCATTTGAGTTGGAAAATGAAGGGAAAAAGTGAGCTTTTGTCCCACATTGGTTTGGGAAGAGGATTTGCCCCACTATTTATACAAGAGCTCTTTTTAAGCTTATTGAATTGTATAGCATAGAGGCTCTCTCTCGCGCGCGGCGGGGGGGTGGCGGGGTGCAAATCAAATCCTAGAGTGAGTTCGAAAAGGCTTGGATCAAGCCTAATCTCGTGTGCGTCGGGCTAAGTTATGCCATTCGGTTTCATTTTCCAATTCAGACAAAGCCATGAAATTTCGTGTTGTTACTGTTAGTTTCGGCCAAGTGGCCGAAACTATTGTTATTGTGTTAGTTTGTTAGTTTCGGCCATAGTGGCCGAAATTATTGAGCCACATTTGGCCAATTTGCAATGAAATTGCAAATTGGCAGTTTTGGCCACTTTTGGCCGAAACTTTGAAATCTCAAGTTTCGGCCAAATGGCCGAAACATTGAAAATTGCAGTGGCCGAAACATTCACAATATACACGAACCAGAAAGCATATTCCTGCTATGACTGTTGGGTTCTAATTCATCAGCTGTTACTGGATTTAATTTTAATTAATTCAAAATTCAATTTTTGAATTAAAACCTGTGTAAATGGTGGATGTTACAGGAATTGTAGGGATGCCCCTAAATGCCATAATAAAGGCTATTCACTCCTCACTCCCTATATAAGAAGGAGTTGAGCAGTAGCTTTTGGTACACACAAGAAAATAATTTTTCCAAGCCTCAAAATACTTCTGCTTCTACTCCATTCTTGAAGCTGTGTTTTACCCGCGCTCTTGTTCGCCGGGTTCGTTCGTTTGGGTGCTCAAATGTCGAACCGTTGTACGTTTTATCCTGGGAAGCCTAGGCCACAACGCTCCTAGCACTTTTGGGAGGTGGCAAATAAGGTTTTAAGGAAAGAAAGGCACTCGCCTAACTCGTACATTTCTTTCTTCCTTCTCCTTCTTTCTTGTTTTGGATTATGCTTTTAAGCAAAAATCCGTTCTCCCTCTTTTGATATTTTATTTGGATTGGACTCATAATCTGAGGATTATTAGTTTCAATTTTGGTTGATATATATATTGGTATATTTTTTTCGTAGATATACATGTATATATAACCTTTGGATCCGTTTTATATATATTTGTGTGTATATATATATTTCGGATAAATATCCAATAATATTTTATATACTAGTGTGTGTATATATAAATATTATTTTTGGGATATTAAATCGATTGTGGTTCATTATCACCAACATAAACCAGCTAAAGTGTCGACACCAGAATCTGATTCGCAAATAGAATCAGAACTGAAATAAGTTCTAATAGCTGTCGGATTCAAGCCACTCATGTAATCATTGATTTCATGCACTAAATCCAAAGTTGGAGCCAAAATAGCTCGACCATTAAGAGATTCCATATCAAAATTACCTGAGCAAAATTCCGGGAATGTTCTATTTACTATAGCTGATATCGAATCTCCATGTGGCCGCAATACATTTTGTTCCGGAATATTTATTACTGCACACCCATCATTTGGCACACCAATCAAACCATCACCTATACCAGCTATCCACTTCGAAAATGAATTGATATCTTCAGCACTGTCATCATTTGCCAATCTTTGTAGTCTCAAATTCTTAGTCAATCTTAGAACCTTACAATTTTGCCAGAGATAAGATGAATTGATGCTTGCTCCAACAATATCTTGTCTTGTTCCCCTAGGAATCACAGGCAGTATTTGTCGAAAATCACCACCAAGAACCATTGTTTTTCATCCAAATGTCATTTCTGTACTCAAAGGATTCACAAACCGTAATAAATCTCTCATGGTTCGGTCTAAAGCCTCAAAGTATGTTTATGCATCATCGGAGCTTCATCCCAAATAATAAGTTTGGAGTTTATAATTAGATTAGCCAAATCACTCCCTTGAGAGATGTTACATGTAGAATCTTAAGTTATATTAATAGGTATAGAAAATCGGGAATGAGCAGTTCGACCACCTGGAAAAAGTAGAGAAGCAATACCACTTGAGGCGACAGTTAAGACGATGTGACCCTCAGAACTCAGAGCAGCTGATAGTGTTTTCCAAACAAAGGTTTTACCAGTTCCTCAGTACCAATAAACAAAAAATAAACCAGACCCAGCATTCGCAACATCTCTAAGAACTATGTCATAGACATGTTTCTGTTCATCTGTCAATTTCTCTACCAAATTCTCATGTTCAACTTTAAGAGCATCACATTCATATGACAATTCTTCATCTAACAACTGATTTCCATGAGAAGCTGAGGAACTCATATTTGGCACATGCATAGATGGAAAGCAAGACATACTTTTTTCCAATACACGTAAAAGCTTTTCAATTTCCACCAAAGCATAGTTAGCCTTTTCTTCATCTGTTAGGGTTAAACCTAAAAAAGAAAATAAGATCGAAATGATACTTACATCTGACGATCCAATATAGCACAACCATGTTAATAAAATGTAAGTATTTAAGTTACAAAAGAATATAAATAAATAAAAAAAACCTGGTTTATCTAGTAGTTTCCGTTGGTTGAACTCCGCATCTTCAGCTAAGAATATCCATACTGCCTCCCAAACAACTTCTGGTCGAATAAGAACGTTTGAAGTAAGCATAGTAACAAATAGTCCCCTCATAGAAGTTGTTGATGCCCATTTACTTGCTTCATTAATCGCATCAACATATTCCTTGTCATCTGCTAATAAACCACGACCATAGCATGCATCTCGAAACGAACTATACTGCACCCCCTCAACAATACGAAGATCTTCATAACATGTTGCACCACGAACCAAGTTCAACAAACACCTTAGATAATAAATTTCACCAGAACCTAGCGGAACAAAAAACATACGTCCAATAGCAAATCCCTTACGACTAAGATGCCACTCTCTAACATCCTTTTTTCCAAACAAATTTGTTCCGCATCTGACCATAAGTTAACTCTTTAGCTTCTGCAAACTTTTTATTAGCTTCAAACCAAGCTAAAAACATACTTTCTCCAACACTCGGGCGACTCAAAATATTATCAACACAATCATCATCGCCATAAACAACTAATTGTTGATTAGGAAAATGGAAACTCAACCTCTCAAGTGCAGGAACTCGGAATTGAATGTCATATCATAATAAATGCCATGTTCCTTCGCATGCAGATATGTAACGACAATCATAGAACATAGATATCTCATCTACAATTTGACCTTTCTCTAAATCATCAGAACTTTTGTAGAAATGAGTTGTAACTCGATCATGCCCCTTGTTGACATACTTAAATATGTACTTGATAGAACGGGACTGGTTACACCACTCAATATTGATATGTGCTCTGTATTTAAGCAACAAATATTTGTTATGTGGTACAACAAATCTGTTATCCAGCTCAATTCCATTTTTCTTAACAAACCTTCCATCATCTCTTGGTTTATAAATGGGATAACCATCTTGATCAAAATTTGAAGAGTCTACAAACTTCTTTAGAAAATGTTTAGAACAACGACCATTGACCATACACGGAGAATTCTTCCTAAGATGACCACAAGGATCATGAATCATAAACTCCTCAACAACCTTATAACACTCACTATCTACTTCCTTATTTGGAATTTCAGCTGAAATGATAGTATCAATATTTTGACATAAAGCTTGACCATCTTCTTGGCTCAGAAATATCAATATATGGGCATGCGGAAGTCCTCTTTTTTGGAACTCAACAGTATAAATAACTACATAAAGAAGTATTAAAACACAAATTAAAAATAAGATAAGAATGATTCTCTTGTATATGTAGAAAAAGTAAAATACGTACCTGCAGTTACATTACCAAAAACTAATCCAGAACGGATCTCCCTAATCAACGCATCCAATTTCATTTTAAATAACCGACATACGTTATCAGGTGGATCAACAGCACTCAAATATCGCTCTCCCAAATACCTCTCTATTTCAGGCCACTTTGGATTACATGTAAATGTAATAAATAAATTAGGATAACCAATCCATCCACAAATCGCTAAGGCATCTTGGTAGTTCTGAATCATATACCTAGCACCTCCAGTAAAGCTAGAAGGAAGAATAACTCGTTTACCATGACGACCGGGCTCAACATCACCTCGTGTTAACTCATCAGACAATCCCTGATAAGCTCCACACCTTAAAGATTTTTTATTGGTGCGAGTATACAATAATCGACCAGCTTCAACCATGGTGTAACCGTCGACCAAAAAATGTTGAAATAATCTCCGAGCATATAAAATTGTTGAAACTTCTGATAAACGCTCATGAATACGAAAAGCAAGATACTCGCGAGGTGAAATACGGTGTCTAGATCCATTTTCAACTACTCGAACAATGTTGAAGCCAATATCCTCCCTATAACCATCTTCACCATATGGAAACAACAATGGATACTGTAATGGAAGATAAGCTGGATTGAGTTCACTAATCCTCTTCAACAATCCATACTTTGTTTCCACTAATATATCTCACTCACCGAGATGCGCATCCAAGTCCCAATCAATAAGTGCAAAAACTTCAGAAACTGTGGGCAAATTATATGTACGGGCATATGTGCTACGCTTCCCAATCAACTTCATTTTAACTTCTACTCTTGGATTTGACTGGATTGCTTCTTTCGCCATTCGAAATGACTTAACCAAAACATTGCAATCATCTAAAATAGCTTGAATATCAGCAACAATTTGAGGGTGTAAGTCTTGTACATCACTTTCATTCCTTCAAAATTATAAAATTTTCAAAGTAAAATGAATTTGAAAAGTTGATTAAACAAATATATTGAAACAATTAGTATACATACCTGACAGCACTAATTCTATTCATAACTTCATTTTCAGAGTCATGAATGTGTAGCTGTGCGAATTTGGCTGAATTACCTTCAATGGGTAATAAACTCCCCATCAAATGAAAATTTTGACCGTTCAAGCAAAAGATTGGTGGAGATGATCCAGAATTTACTTGTTTATCAATTCGACCACCCATTGATGTAAAACTGAAAATATTATTGTAAGATCGTATATTCTGCAAGAAATTTTTACTTCTACGATCGCCACTAAAAAACAAATCAGATATCAACTTGGCCGGAGGAATGATAGCTGCCAACTTAATTGTCGTTATTAGGGAACTTTCGTGAGAGATGATATGATGCAGGAAATAAATAAAGTAAATGAGAAGATAAGGAGACGATAGTTTTTATAGTGGTTCGGCCAACTTTGCCTACTCCACTCTTCTTCCACAACTTATGGAAGGATTGTACTATCACTCATTAGTACAATTACACAAAGACTTCCTTGATCACTAAGCCGGACAGCGTTCGTAGGTTTTTCAACTCCGCGAGTTTACTCCGCCTCTATCAACGTCTTCTTCAGAGTTGAGGTTGGTAGAAAATAATTTCTGATTTCTCCAACGTGATGAAGTCTTGACTGATGAGGAATGATTGCTTCGTACAAGTTGCAAGACTTCTTTAAGGTGTAAGATGAGTATCAATGAACTTCTTCATGTATCCTTGCACCTTAACACTGGTTCACAAAAGCTTAAGAGAGCTGAGAGCGTTTAAGAGCTTTTGCTTATAGATAGATCGAGTGATAAGAACCAGCACCTTCTTAGTTGGTGAAGGTGGGTTTATATAGTTGAGGAAAAATTCATCCGTTGGAGGGAGATGAATTTTTAAACCTATTATCCAGTGGGTAAGGACCGGGGAGCTTCCCGCATTAAATGCTCCATTAATGAGGTTGTACCTTGTAGCCGTTGATGGCATGGAGAGCCTTAGGGTTTTGTCCTTTAGCTTCAGGAAATAGTACATCTTCATTTAATATTCCTTGGTATGCGTGTCCCAGAAGTTGAGGTCCTTTTGTTCCGAGGATGTTGTCAAGTCAGAGAGTGGAGACATTCTTCTAGCTATTGATGAGAAGGAATGTCTTGAAGGATTGTCATCAATAAGAGTGTCCTTTCGTGCTAAGTGACAACTCCTGGTAAACTCTTGTTGCAGTTGCTTCATGCTTCGTGTCTTCTTTCGTCTTGATAACCCTAACAACTAAGAATAACTCGTCTTCGTGTGTTTGACTAGCTTAACACGAATTACATGTAAGTTATGGCAACTTTCGTCTAGGACGAAAGCGGTGATTAAAAGTAATAACGGTTAGGTGTCTAGACGAAAGCGGTGATTAAAAGTAATAACGGTTAGGTGTCTACTTTCTAGGTTACATTGGTATCATCAAAATCCTAATAGAAGTGTTCCTAACAATTTCCCCCTTTTTGATGATGCCAAAACCTATACTCTTCTTATAAGGCTGATAAAAGGTTCCATAACGGATTTTCTATTACAAGTCAGCCATCCTCAAGAGTTTACAAGTCTTTTCTAGATAAATGCAAATAACAAGTATGACAAAGACAAGTAACTCAGACAAGTGACACGAGATGTGTAACAACAAGTACTTTATATAAAGATAAAGATCATTACAAAAGCTTTTTAAGGAAGACATAAAGAAGAGCATCTTACAGATCTAGAAGATTCGACTTCTGTAGCTTAGCTTCTTTTCGTTCACGAATGTCCCTTTCCTCTTGCTGTTTGAGCATTCTGTCGGTGTCGATCTCCTTGTTGATTCGTTCTCTAAAGATCTTGATTGGATTTGTCTTGACTAGATCTTCGTATTTTCCTCAAATGTTGAGACTTATGTAATTTTTGTAAGGCTCGCGAATGTTTGCTCCTGCAATTATTCCAGCCTTCCACCATGAGATGAGTTCAAAGGAATTCATTCATTCTCTGTAGCTTTTTCCAGACTCGGCATGCACTTTGAAAGCTGCATTGTAGATGACACCATGCTCAGAGTGTTTTGTTACTTTCGTGAGATCTTCAATAAGCTTCTTTACTCTCTCTTTCCTCCAGTTCATGCTCTCTCTTTTGGGTTTCTTCTTCGTGTTTCTCCCATAGTTCTCTGTTTTGTCTCTTGATCCTTTCGTTTTGGGTGCTTATGTGATGTTGTCTAGTGTGATTGTCCTTTGTCTTCAGCCAGATAGGGACATTGCAACCCTCAAAACGTTTTCCACTGCCTTCTTCATAAGGTCTGTACTCCACAAAGTTTCCTACGCCATCCATAGTTACCTTGTTGTTCTTCATGAGTTTCTGCCTTAGGTTCGTCTTTTCTCTCTTGGAGAGCCCAGTGAATGCATATTTTGATTCAGAACCATAGGATTGACGAGGCTTGAAAGGCTGTGATCTGGGTTGAGAATGACCACGATTTGAATAATGCCTTGACTGGGAAGGATGGTGACCACGAGACTTGGATGGAGGATATGATGGATTTGTACTTCTTTGCCTAGAGTCTCTTGGTGCATGAGATGGAGAGCGTTCTCTCGTGTTCTCCCTCGGATGATCATCATCCTTATCATCATGATTTTGCTTTTCCCCCTTTTTGGCATCATCGGCACACGTGGTAGGAGGCATAGTGGAAAGTTTATTAACTGCATTCAGAATGTCTTGAGCATACCTGAGAATTTGAAGAGCATACTGTCCCAGTTGGTATGTATTGTCTTGTGAAGTCTCTATCTTTGAGTAAGCTAAGTCAACACGCTCTATGAGGCTATAGTGGGAGTGTTTATGTTCGTGCTGTTGACGAGCCACTTTGTTGACAGAGGTATGAAGTTCATGGAGTTCCTTAGCCAATTGCTTGTTGAATTGTTAGTCAGGTTTAGCTTGAGGTGGAGGTTGAGATAGCTCTTGTGGTGGCGGACGAGACTAAGCTTGAGCAGCCATCAACCGATCCACCTTCTTGGATAAGTTTTCCAGAACTACGGTGTCCCATTGCCGAAGGGTCATGTATTGCTGATGTGTAATTTTGGCAGCATGTACTGTATCCCTCTTGAGGTTAATGACTTTTCGTGGGGACACTGGAGGAGAGTCATCTTCAATATTGGTTTGTGGGGTTTCCACCAGGTCTTCTTGAAGTGGTGCATCCTTTTTGCCACCACTAGCTGAGCTAAGAAGGATTGGTGAGGCTTCCAGTTTGCCCTCACGTACAACTTCTTCCTCTCGTTTTATCGGAGTCTCGTCCGTGGGTTGAACATGTGGGACGAGAGCTCGAGACAGATCATCAGGATGATCAATTGAAACGTCTTCAACTTCTTGTGATGCTTCCCTTGTGTCATCACTGTTGGGTGATTTTTGTGCTGCAGATCTTTTGGGAACAGTGTCGTAATCAGGACCGACCAAGAGAGGAGATTCACTGTCATAGGTTGGGTCAACCTTATTATCGCCGTCATTACCCGAATCATCATTGTCATCGTCATCATCATCGTTCTCATCATCTGCATCCTCGACATCGTCAGTTTCGCCTTCATCTTCGTCATTACTCTTTTCATCTTCTTCTTCGGCCATGTCAATCTCTCGGCATTGCTCATCTTTCAAGCCACTGACGTTGCAGTTAGGATCATTTTGATGTTCTTTCTCCAGGATGGTTTTGACTTTAGATATCAATATAGCATATCGAACCATCTTCATTTCTTCTTCAAATGCTGGGTCCAATGGAGGTTTGTTGAGCTCAATGCACATCGGAGCTTTATCCTTTCTGAGAGTGCAATTGGACATTTTGTAAGAAAACACTCGTCTTATTGTTTCAAGACGCAGTGCGTCATTGACATCCTTCGTGTCAATCCACTCTAGAGCAAACTTTTCTTCATCTTTCATGGCTTCAAAAGTTTCAATGAACATGTCCAAGGGGTTGTGCGCCATTTTTGCCATTGCAACACTCGGTTGTAGTCATTTTCAATAGACTCACGAAGCAATTGATCTGGAGATGGAGGAATGGGTCTAACAACTGGTTGTGTGATCACCACTTCTGGATCAGTGATCACATTTGGGATCTCTCGATTTTCCTCAGCTACCAGTGCAGGTTCTTGTGTCAGAGTATCTGGTACCAGCTCTGCAAAGGTAGGTTCTTGTGGAAGAGACGGAACTTTAGTCAATTCAGCAGCCACTTCTTTCGTCTTTGCTGGCAAGCCAGGCTCTTGTGGAAGACTTAAGTGACCGGCCTCCGTGTCCATAGCAGCAGGTTCTTGTGTCGAACTTTGAATATTTCGCTCTGCTGAAATGGGTTCTTGTGGATGAAGGACTTGATGAGAACTGAGGCCAAGGTTTGGCACTTGTTGTTCAGAAGGTTTTTCTGGAGAAATTTCTTTCGGCTGGCCTTCCCCCTGAGAAGGTGCTTCTCTCGTATCTTCTTCCCCCTGAGAGAATGTTTCTTTCGGTGTGTCATCTTCCTTCGGGGAGAGAGTTGAGCCAAATTTCGTTTTGACAGGATAACGAAAACGTCCCATTTTTCTGAGGTTCGACAGAGCCAAATTGTCTTCATCAGATGAGTCTTCGACAACAATTGTGTCTGGAGGAGGAATAGGTGAGGTAGGAGTTTTCTTTTCTGTGGGAGATTTTGGAGATGTGGGAGTGGGTGTACTGACAACTTCCTTTTTCGACTTAACCCGAGAAGAGCCCTTTTCCTTCTTTTGCCTTTTCGGCTTTGGTTGGTCATCTTCTGACTCTTTCGGCGTCCTTGATTTTCGTTTGGATTTTACCATTTCCAAAGGAATTCCCAGCTCTAAGGCTTTCTGTTTGTCATAACCGGAGGGCTTCTGCTTCATGTGGCAGGCTTTTGGTCCTGGCCGAATTCCTGGTCTCATAAGGACATCCTTTGTGATAAGTAGGTGACTAACCAAGAATCCATATCCCAGTTTCTTTGTGATGTCACCGGGACTTTTTATGTTGAAGGTTACGGTATGAACAAGGTTGTTGAAGATAACTTTCGACCAGTCGACTTCGTGTTTGTAGAGGAATGCATACAGCATTTTCAGCTTCTCCTTTATGATATCATCTGTTCCAGACGTTTTGTGATCTACGATCTTATTGAAGATATCCACAGTGAATTCATAGTTCAGACGAAACCACTTCTTATTCAAAGGCCATGTAATCTCCATTTTCAAGGGTGCATGGTTGTTCTTGATGGTATCATAAAACTCACTGGGGTCGTAGTGGTAGAAAGAGAGGTTGGGCTTGTATGTCTCATCCCTCTGAGGAAAATCATATGCCGCTCTTATGTCATCTGATGTTATAATCACTTGATGATTGTGAACTCTAGACGTGATGGTTAGAGAATCGGAGGAGACAGTTGCATTCATATAAAATTGAGCAACATCAGTAGGGTACCATAAAGTATAGAGATGAGTGATAAACCTGTATAGCCCAGTTTCTGTAAGCAGATTGATGATATTTTCTCCAAACTCGCGATCAAGAACATATTCGAGAAACCCATGAGCATCCCACATGCTTCCTTCGACAATAAGTGGAGCCCTAGATTCGATAAATCGTATATCTTCCGTAGGGAAGGAAGGAATTTCCAAGGTGGTTGGGGTTTTTGGTTCTGTATCGGAGGGGGTAACTTGAGATTTCGTTGCCATTATGAAGTGTTGAATGAATACAAGTATGGCAGTATAGTTTTGAGACGGAGAATGAATGAAAGGGGTGAAGTATGGAGGGGAGAGGGTTTATGTAGGGTTTCACTTGTTTCCGGGTATTCAAATACGGGTAACCCATTTTTGGGGTGGATGGTTTGAATTTCAAATTTTCAACCGGTTCCACTTCTTCAAAAGGTAACTGATCTGATTATATGAGAGTGATAAGATCATGCGCAGATTAGATTTGATCATACCATATTAAATATGGAGAGAATTCCACTCAAGTGCCTGTACGAGGCTTAAATGCCCATCAATTCATCTGTCAGTCATCGTGGGGTAGTGGATCATTTTCCTTGGCCACACGATCCCCATGATGAAACTTCTAAACGGTTCAGATGAGAAACTTAATAGGAAGCGTCTTAAATACGACTGAAAACCGAAGGAAGATAAACTTCACATAACAAAAGATTTGTAGGACAAATAAAGTCAGACAAATCTTATACAAGACATGCAACGAAAGTGCATAGCCCGAGAGATGTTTTATTACACAAAACAAGGACAGTGACAACTGTTACTACATCTCTCGTGATTTACGAACCATGAGACTTTACTCCATGGCAGCCCTCTTCTTTCGAGCGTTTTCAAAGTATTCCTTCTTTCGCACCTCAAGAGCGAACACTTCGGCTATGATTGTTTCATGATCCGTTCCCATTGCATCTCTTGAAAGACCTCGTATTTCCATGTCATCCAGTTCGGCCTTTACATGAGCCTCAGCAGCAGCATAAGTAGCCATGTACATGTCATCATTTTTGAGGTGAGGTGCAAGCTTTACAAGCGTGAGAAACTCAGATAGATTTGAGACCTTGGTGGATCCATCAACTGAAGATGAACCCTCCAGCAATGAATTCTTTGGTTCATGGTGAGAAGCATTCTTGGATTTAGCTTTTCTAGACAGACTTTCGGTTGTGAGAGCCATTGCTTTTCCCTTGTCCATAGTGATATCAGTTGAGAAGAGTGAAACTATATTTCCCGAGATAGTACCTTATAAAGAGCGTGAGATTTCATCAAAAGATGTGACCCGAATGACTAGTGTAACACCCCGTGTTACGAGTCCTAAAACCAATTAATTAATTAATTAATAGCCCAAGAGAAAGAATAAATTATAATGATTAATTAGGGAAAAAGGCCCACCGTAGCCCATGGGCCCTCCTATATAAACCCAACCCCTAATCCCAATAAGATTAGACCCTAAATAAGATCCCTAGATCTATAAATAGGGAACTTAGGAAGCACCTAGAACTCCTCCCACAAGAATAACGCCCCACCACCCCAAAAGAGCTCCAAGGATCCCCTTAGGAGAAATCAAGAAAGCAAGGAAGCTTAAAGAAAGATCCTTCGTAGCCAAGGAATTAATTAAGGCTAAGAGGTAACCCATGTCTCAACAAAACCTATTTTCATAGTTATAATTCCCCCTTAGGGTTTCCCCATATTATTGTATATTGGCGAGTTATGATGATTATTATTGGTAATTGATGTGAAGATCCCATGGGAGATCTTGATGATCTTGATATTGGGAGATTCTTGATAACTATGGTGTTCTTGATAATTATATGGAGTTCTTGATGATTATGTGTCGTTCTTGATAATTGTGTGATGCTCTTGATGTTTATGTGTTATTCTTACCGAATCTTGCAATTAGAAGACGAACCGTATTCTTGTTGATATAAAAGTGATTAGAACCCTAGGTTGTATCGTATGATCTTATTCTTGGATTATCGGGTGGGGAAATCGCATGTTTGGGTGTTGATTATATTTAGAAAAGCATGATAGGTTATGTGCCGTTCGTTTCTTGTATTTGATTCGTTAATTGTCTACGTGTTGTCGTTAATTGCGTTGTAAAGTGTCTAAGCATGGTTTCGAGTTCCACAACGGTTCCCGGGGCGTAAAGTGTGTGAAAAGAGTCAGTGGGGGTAGGTGGGGGGTAGGGGACCCGCCACCTACCCACGGCCGTGAAGCACCGCCCGGCAGCGGGTGGCCGGCGGGCGGGCAGCTGCCCGCCGGCGACCCGCTGCCCGGAACAGTATTCTCCGGCGGGCAGCCGGCGGGTGGCCCCCACCCACCGGCTACCCGCTGGAAATTCATCCCACCCGGGATCCCGGCTTCCCCGTTTGATGTTCCCCGTTCCCCGTGGTGTCCCAACGGACTCCGTTTATCGTGCCTATGTCTAGTTTGATGTTTCGGGTACCGTTCGTAGGTTTATGAGTCTATTATATTGCATGCTAGTTGAATTGGTATCCCGTTGACCTAGGTGGAAGAAGTATGAACCCCTTAGGACCATTCTTAGTAAGTGATGGATCACGCATAGGTTTTGTTATACGTTTTCTCCCCCTTCCTAATGTGTAATGTGGGTTGCATGTGCTTGCTATGTGTTATGTGTGTGTTACCCCAATTCGGTTGCGATCGGATTGGTTATCCTGAGCTGCGGTTCAGAAGCTGGCTGCGGTCAGATTGATACTCTTGGGCTGCGGTCCACCGTTTGGTTGCGATCAAACGTTTCTATACGAGCTGCGGTTCGTCCTTTTTCCTGGCTGCGGTCAGATGACATTCTCTTGGGCTGCGGTCCACTGTTTGGTTGCGATCAAACACTATGATGAGCTGCGGTTCATCGGTCGGTTGCGATCGACCCCTCCGTGTTGCGATACGGGGCAGGGTGCTGCGGGGCCGTGTCAGAGCTATATGCGCTGACCCTCATGTATGGGCATGCAATTGGTCCTGTGGCGCCAACAAAGTGTGTTATGTGTTGTGACATGGACGAGTTGTGATTACGATTGTCTTGGGGGATGTGACTATGGGTTTTATATTGGGGATTGTTCATGTTGGGTTATGATCATTGTTTATGCTTTGCCTTATCTGCCTTATCTGTTGTGAACTTCATATGCTCGTTATAACTGTGCTTATGTCTAGCCTTATCTGTCGAGTCATTCCCGGTTTTAAAGCTAGTGTTCGTAGGATATATCTTCATGCTCAAAATGGTTTTCGTATATCTATATATATCTCTATATGCATTGTATTTCAACGCGTTGGAGTGGGTTACCAGCATCTCAAGCTGAACAGATATATTTGGCTTTCAGGCACAGAAGATTAAGTCACTAGAGTGCGCTAGAACTTAGAAGTAGATAGTTTCCCTTTTGGCCTGCGTGCCACGTTTACGTATTTACGCTTTGAGGACATTAGTTAGTTAGC